GAAGGCTTCACCATTTCACTATGAATGGACCAAATTTAACCAAATTTTAACAGGAGTTAGAAAAAATGATGAGATTGAAAAATCCATAAAACTGGCGCGCTATGTGCGCGATAGAATGTACGCTAACTGCAGCAAGTCTTGTCGCTATAATTATGGCCAACCCTGTATTCCTACTCCAGTCTTCGAAATCGAGCCGGTTTTCTACCCACTTCCTTCTACGAGAGGAGATTCGGCTGAAAATTTGCTTACAGGGGTAGTTCGACCTCCTGAACACGAATATCACATCCGCTGGCCAGGGCCAAAAGCGCCTGGCACCCGCGCCACAGGCGTCGGCGCCAAAACACTCTAAATCACCAAAATCGATGAAAACTTGTATACGGGGGTTATTTGACATCCTGATTACGAATATGATATTTATTCTTGGCATTGGCGCTAACTTAGGACACTATGGTCATCTGCGTTCTTGCTAAGGCTGAGCCTTACCGAAGTTAATCACTATTTCTCGAAGGTTCAGCCTTAGCAGAACTGTAAATGGCACTTGTCTCAAAAAAGAAATGCCATATTTCTGATCAAGGTACCAAACAGCCTTATTACGCAATTTTTCTTGATTTTGAGGAAAATGGATATATGGCGCCAAATAGCGCCCGCCTCAAAAATAAATGCCATAATGGAATCAGGGGCGCCTACCGACGTCAGATGGCGTCAGCGCCAGACCAGAGATGAATGTCATATTCTTGATCGGGACCCCGAATAACATCTATGGGCAGTTTCAGGGATTTTTGAGTTTTCGGGTAGGAATAGTTTAATAGTGCCAGATTTCCTGTAGGGAGAGTTGGCTTGAAACACTACCGTAACCCACTTTTTCAAAAAAGCTACCCGGACATGACGTAATTCGTCGCAAGGTGGTTCGAGAAGCCTTGAGCCCATCTGAGGCTGCACTTCACCAATAGTGTTCGCGTTGAGATAGAAAACAAGAAGGAAAATCCGCGTGCGAGTAACTGGAACTCAGTCTCCCTCTTCACTTTTGCAGTTCCTTGATTCACCAGACTCGCCACATTCTTCAATAATGTGGTGCAGCTTTACAGGTGCCCTCACCATATATGTTATGTTAAGCTTTCCAGTTTGAGTGAGCCTTTTCCTTTCACTAATCTGACTAGGGAAGGTCGTCAGGTCGAAGTGGCCATTTGTAATGAGATGTAGCTCACTAGACGTGGTTTTGGACGCTGATCTCGAATCTGCCTTTGAAATTTGCAGAACGATTCTCTGAACGGAGTTATGGAGCTTTTTCCACCGCGTTTACCACGCAACAGGTCGTGGGATCGGATCCCTGCTGAGCTTAACTTTTTTGCTTCTTGCGCAAACGTGGCAAAAAGTGGTTGTGGCGTCACTACTACATTAGCGCTCTCCTTGACTTGCCTGAAAAACAGTTTGCGTTCGCTTACTGGCGCGCTTAGTGCCTTATGATCTAGGAGAATTTTGGATGTACAGGTGCCCTTGGCGCGCAGTGCAGGCGTTTTCGCGCTGAGCGAGTGCCATATTCGTATTTATGGGGGCGAACTACGCCTAGGTAGAGGTTTCTAGCCAAATCTGGCATTTTGACCTGACTTCGAAAAGTGAAGCATCCATGGGTTAGTTCAGTTGATGTTCACACCTATTCAGCTGCAGATACATTCTCCTGCACAAAGCCTCGTCTTGCCACTTCTTACGCATTCATGTTGTTACTGCTCCAGTTTTCCTGGTATCTAAAAGCAAATTCCGTCCAAAGACAAGCAATCGACAAGAGACTGGCCCTGGAACTATTGGTGACCATCATTCGATCAACTGCTACCGCACTTTTCAAAGTTAGGTCAAAACCTCACATCTGGCTAGAAACCTGTCTCCAAGGGTAGTTTTGCTCCCTGAACACGAATATGGCACCCATTTGGCGTTTGAGTGTTTCTAGACTCAAAAGAGACATTCCCCACAAAATGCAAAAGAAGTTCCCTTCCAGAAATTCGAACCCTTCATGGCATGCCCGCGAAGCAAGACCATTACCACTACACCCGCCGTTGAACGTAAGGGTTCTTCCCGGCTATTCATGCGAACTGGCTGGCAACCGCGCTCGACTCCGTTTTCCTTCATTTTAATTCTAACAACCATCATAATTCCTTTCAGAGAATCGTTCTGCAAATTTCGAAGGCAGATTCGAGATCAGCGTCCAAAACCACGTCTAGTGAGCTACATCTCATTACAAATGGCCACTTCGACCTGACGACCTTCCCTAGTGAGTTAGGAATGGCAAAAATTCTATTCTTTCCCTGCAGCAACAATGCAAACTTAGGTCAAATTTGTCATTGAAAACATATCTTATTCCCACTCCTATATCAAGAGTAAGTAATCTTTTCGATTAGCTGAACTAGCCAGATTTCCTTCGCTTTGTGGTTGCTCATAGACACGATGAATTACTGATAATGGTAAATGACTTGGTTATTAATATTAGTGTCCGTAAATGTGTACATAATTATCGAGGATATTTAATCAGTTCATCCAACCCATCATAGAAGCAAAGAAAGAACGAGAATCAATAACCTCGCCCTTTCCATTTCCTTTAACTTTGGGCAAGAATTTTTTTCCTATGGAAACTGGAACAAGGGTTGGAAAAGCAGAGAGCGCGAAACAATATGCTTCATTGAAGCTCAACTTCGACATCGGAAATGGGGTCCATCGACGATAACGACCCGAGTCCAGTTCGAGCAGTAGAGCACCCACAACGATGAAGTTGAAGTAAAAGGCTTTCAGAGATGCACTGTTCGTACATACTTTATTTAATGGTAAGTAACTCCGAACAAGAGAGAGAAAAATCTTCCAAGTTCAAAGTTGAAATACCAATACCTTCTTTTCTTCTGCCATTTTGAATATTCCCTCTTGAATGCATTCGCTCTCTACACTTCATCAAAGTGATAGATTAAAAATTTTTTAAAAGTTCTCGAACACCTTAATTGTTCCTCTACAAACAAAATCAGTCAATACCTCTAGTTACTAATACTTCTTCTCCGAGATAAAGCCTCACGTTAAGTGCAGCGTAACGTTCATGAAATGAGAACATCTGTTCGATCAAAACATGCCACTTTCATGAAACTCGTCACAAACGCGAGAGAATGCACGCGTCGTAAAACCCTTTAGTCTCTGGTATAGCGATAGCATAGTGATGTGATAGTAACCTGTATGAATGTAACCGTCCGGGTGAGCTCAGCCCATCTCTGCTGACGCTCGGATCGTGCTCGAATTCGTAATCGGTGCCGACAGAAAGCTCGCTTCAAACAATGGCAAATCAGAACACTTAATTTCATGCACAATAATGCAGTGGACGATTGTCATAACTGCTGCCGAGACACAGAAGAAGAAGAAGAAAATGATAGTAACCTGTATGACAGTAGCCTGCCCGGGTGAGCTCAGCCCATCTCTGCTGACGCTCGTTTCGTGCTCGAACTCGTAACTGGTGCCGACGGAAAGCGCGCTTCAATTAATCGCATTTCACTTCATAGTGAGCATAACGCACAAGCATGCGGTGAACTATAGCCGCGACTGTTGCCGACACACAACGAAAAGCGATAGTAACCTGTATGACAGCAGCTGCTCGTGAGAGCTCAGCCCATCTCTGCTGACGCTCGTTTCGTGCTCGAACTCGTAACTGGTGCCGACGGAAAGCGTGCTTCAAATAATCGCGATTCAGATTATAGGTAGCTTCAAGCATAAGCATGCAGTGAAGGACGGCCATTATTACCGTCGACATACAGAACGAAAAATGGTGGCAACCTGAATGACAGTAGCCGCCCGGGTGAGCTCAGCCCATCTCTGCTGACGCTCGTTTCGTGCTCGAACTCGTAACTGGTGCCGACGGAAAGCGTGCTTCAAATAATCGCGATTCAGATCATAGTTAGCTTCAAGCACAAGCATGCGGTGAAGGACGGCCGCGACTATGGCCGACATACAGAAATTAAAATGATAGTAACCTGTATGACAGTAGCCGCCCGGGTGAGCTCAGCCCATCTCTGCTGACGCTCGTTTCGTGCTCGAACTCGTAACTGGTGCCGACGGAAAGCGTGCTTCAAATAATCGCGATTCAGATCATAGTTAGCTTCAAGCACAAGCATGCAGTGAAGGACGGCCGCGACTATGGTCGACATACAGAAATTAAAATGATAGTAACCTGTATGACAGTAGCCGCCCGGGTGAGCTCAGCCCATCTCTGCTGACGCTCGTTTCGTGCTCGAACTCGTAACTGGTGCCGACGGAAAGCGTGCTTCAAATAATCGCGATTCAGATCATAGTTAGCTTCAAGCACAAGCATGCGGTGAAGGACGGCCGCGACTATGGTCGACATACAGAAATTAAAATGATAGTAACCTGTATGACAGTAGCCGCCCGGGTGAGCTCAGCCCATCTCTGCTGACGCTCGTTTCGTGCTCGAACTCGTAACTGGTGCCGACGGAAAGCGCGCTTCAATTAATCGCATTTCACTTCATAGTGAGCATAACGCACAAGCATGCGGTGAACTATAGCCGCGACTGTTGCCGACACACAACGAAAAGCGATAGTAACCTGTATGACAGCAGCTGCTCGTGAGAGCTCAGCCCATCTCTGCTGACGCTCGTTTCGTGCTCGAACTCGTAACTGGTGCCGACGGAAAGCGTGCTTCAAATAATCGCGATTCAGATTATAGGTAGCTTCAAGCATAAGCATGCAGTGAAGGACGGCCATTATTACCGTCGACATACAGAACGAAAAATGGTGGCAACCTGAATGACAGTAGCCGCCCGGGTGAGCTCAGCCCATCTCTGCTGACGCTCGTTTCGTGCTCGAACTCGTAACTGGTGCCGACGGAAAGCGTGCTTCAAATAATCGCGATTCAGATTATAGGTAGCTTCAAGCATAAGCATGCAGTGAAGGACGGCCATTATTACCGTCGACATACAGAACGAAAAATGGTAGCAACCTGAATGACAGTAGCCGCCCGGGTGAGCTCAGCCCATCTCTGCTGACGCTCGTTTCGTGCTCGAACTCGTAACTGGTGCCGACGGAAAGCGCTCTTCAAATATTCGATTAGATCACTGGTTTGACGGGATTATCATGAGTACGTACTTTTTCAAGTACTCCACTGTTAGCGTTCTCCTTACGAATTCAATCAAAACTCAATATCACGAGTTGCCAGTACCACTGGGGTTGAGTATACTTTGGCTAAGAGAGGTATTGATATTACTGGGTTGGGACAGATTTCTCCTTTTTTTGAGTAGAGGCCAGCCTCTCCAATATCCGCGTACACTAGCGTTGTCAGCTCGCCGCTATTACAGTCTCGAAATTTTTGTCTAGAGCAATCTTAGGAACTTTCTTAGAAGCAGAAATTTAAAACTTCCAAGGGAACGATCTTGAACTCTTCACAATGCTACTTACTGTTGAAGAATGTGACCAGGACAAACTACTCTGAAATCAGAAATCAAAAGAGCAATTAGAAGACGTGGAAAAGAATCTAAACATTTGGCATCAGCTGAATGTATGATGCGAGGCGATCCCAAGCACAAGATGCCGCTCAAAAAGACAACATGTTCCCCTTAACTGCTGAATATGTTACAGGCCACGACAAGATCATTCGTAGGATCATTCAATAACCAGAAAAGGCCGGCAGGCCAGTCCGGCCATTTTCAATGAGATGTCACGTTTTGGGACGCTAAGCTAAAATGCTCCTTAGAAATTTGCAAAACGATTCTCTGGTCCTAGTTATGGTAAGTTTTCTCCGGCCCTGTTGTTTTACATGCTACAGCACTGAAGCGTGGAAGCGTCATAAGGTTCATCACCTGATAGAGAAGATAAAGCAGCGTAGCAATACAGCGCAATCGCTCCTGGTAGGGCCCTCCCTGTGCACAGATTTCTCTTCAGATACGAAAAATCCACGTGCAAGGCTTCCACTTATAGACGCTTACAACTCATTTTATAGAGACTCGTACAGATCTCAGCATCGAAAACCTTCACCTGTATCTTCACAACAGCAGCAGTGATGATTGCTTCTCTACCATGTGCTTCCTTTTGCTGCTCTGTCATCGATTTTCCCAACTCGATCTTTTCCCGCGATTCTCTAGAATAGAAAGGTGTCTTTCATTCCATTAACTAGACATGATTAATGTGACATGGGTACTCGTACGTCGGCCCATCATGAGCTCATGGAAGTCAGAAGTTCCCAGTGGCACCACGAGGAAGAGTTGACTTTAGCCAACCTCTTTGTGACAAGACGATACCAGAGCGTCTCAAGTCAAAGATCTATAGAGTCGTCGCTCAACCTGTCGCGATATACGACAGGTAGATCAACCCATGACCAAAGAAGTTGAAGCCCGCCTCGGATGGAAGGAGATGGGAAACTGTGCTGGACGGCTGGCGTTACGCGTATGAATCGCGTTCGCAACGACCACATGCGAAGGGTAGCTCCTGTAGTCGCGCGAAGCTCGTCCTCGATGGTATGGTCAAGTACTGCGCCCAAATTCTGACACCAGCCGTAGGACTGGTCTTGAGCTCGAGGTGCTCGGAAAACAGCCTAGGCTAGACATGTTGCACTTGAAGATACTTGGCATTCAACCCGACCAAGCATTCAATCGGGAGAAGTGGCGCCTTAAAATAAAAAGAACGGACCCCGCCACAGAATGGAACAAGGGCGCAAAGAAGAAGATTTCACTATCAAAGAACATGCTCAAACACACCCTTGTGCTCTCCTTATTTCGTCTCCTATGTTAATAATCAACTTTGACATTTCTGCCTCATTGGTAGCTCCAGGTTCCACGACGTACGTTCTCATGAGTAACGACTGCTTGTCCATGTCAGATGTGCGGGCCTCAGACCTCGCATCTTGCAACATTTTCTAAATGTTTAAATGATCTGAGAGTTTAAAAGATTTCAGAGATATTAACCACATGTTCCGAACAAGAAAAGTCTGGAACTGACCTTGAGTGCTCTGAAGAATCTGTAGGATCTGTATGCTTTCTGGATACGAACAGCTGCATCATGAAGTTCACGAATGGAGAATAATCCCGAAAGATAGAAGACCGTGAACAAGCCGATAGAGTTGTGCAAGCCCCATGGTACATCGAGATCAGACGCAGCCTGGAACAGTCAGTAAATTAAATATGTCATCCTTATCCTTATCCCTTCATTTTATAAACCAGTAATTTGTGTGTCGGTTTGTATGTATGTATGTATGTAAGTATGTATGTATGTAAGTATGTATGTCTGTCCGTCCGCAAAATGTTTCACGGGTTCGATTTACTGGAGGGAAAAACGACCGCTAGGCAAACCGGAAATCGTTGGTGCAGATGTATCAATGCAATGTTTTGATTGTGATAACAGCCTCCACTATATAAGACAACCATTCGGTACACTCCGAGCCATTGCACGAGCTGCTGCCGTGGCAGCTGGACGTGTGCTCGTGCGGGGCAGGGTGGGGGGGCGCCTAGTGCCCCCTCCCTCTCTGCTTCCTTCCCCTGCACGTGCTCAGCTGGACTTGAGCACGTGCAAGTGAAGGAAGCAGAGGGGAGGGGGTACGGTGAAGGGATCCGGTGAGGAGGCGTGTAGCGCACGCTCGAGTGGAAGCACGCAGCAACAGCAAAAGATGAGAAAGCAACCGCTAGGAAAATTGCAAGTTAATCCATAATCCAATGCACTAGGATTTTTTTGATTGTGAATACCCTCACAGCTTATAAGAGAGCCATTTAGCACACTCCGAGCCATTGCACGCGTTGCTCGCGTGCTAGCTGGACGTGAGCTGTCATATTACATGCGGAGGCTGGGATGGGGGGGGGGGCTTCATGGGGAAGACGGTGGGGCGAGGGGAGGGGGCAAGGAAGGGATGGGGCGAGGGAAGTGAGGTTAAAAGGCTGCAGCTGGACGCGAGGTAGTGGGGCACGGTAATTGAGGACAGGGGCGAGGGTCAGAAGCATTAGTGAAAGCGACAGTTAGAAGAAAGGAAGATCGACCGCTAGGCAATCCATAATGTGCTATCAGCGGTGATGTTTCGGATGTGAAAACACCCTGGACTTTATAAAGCAACCATTTGCTGTGTTCTGAGCCATTGGACCTACGGCTATGTGGCAGCTAGACGTGAGCGCGTCCAGTGGGTCAGGGTAGCGAAGGGATGGGGTGGGATGGGTTGGTGGAATTACGACCGGATAACGTAGTGTGCTTTGATAGAACATACCGGACATAGAAGCATTAGTTGAAGCGGTTATTTGAAGAAAGGAAGAGCAGAGCTGCGAACCAATTCATGATGTGGTATCAATTTAAGGTAATGATTTGAATGTGAATACTCGAGTAAAGGATCGCTGGGAGTTATGAGGAAAAGAGCGATATCACTGTCGTGTCTGATATGGGGTGTCGCGAATTAACACAGACATTAATTGCTTGAGTTTGGACCCAAATGAATGTTTACTGCTCAATTTTCAAATCAGAGATTGGGCTTTCGTAGCTTATACGTGGCACCATTGTATGAAAGCAAACAACACCCGGCTTCCAACACAGTTTGAAATAGCTCAACTTACGCGTGTTGACGCGTGTGCAAACTCTGCAAAATGAAACAACCTCCGTAAGAGTGAATGCAGTTCATCTGCATAGCTATCAAAAGCCAATGGAAAGCTTATCTTTCAAAATAATTTTACATTTTGTGATAACCGTACTCTTATGATATCTGGGCGTACATTTACATCCATTCGAAAGACTGACAGCGTGATGGACAGTAATAGTTCAGCGAACTATTCGCAATCAAACCAGGAAGACGGGAGGTTAGTTATTATTTCACGCTAGAAAATGCAGATTTCGCTAGGTTACTCTATCTATTATGATTCGACCACTACCGCTCAAAATGAGCAGCTCAGGCAATTAACTAATTCCATCCCGTTATGATGTGCGCCTGGCGAAGCCAGGCCAGCTCGGCGAAGCCGAGCTAAAAAGAAGGAGGAGAGCTCGGCGTCAGCCGGGCGATCCGACTGGTATTCTATAAACCACTAACTCTGTGTCGGTTTGTCGGTATGTATGTATGTATGTCTGTCGTCCGCAAAATGCTTCACGGGTTCAAACACGTCAGTGTAGGAGAGTATACGACCGCTAGCCGGTGGCGAAACCAGTTGGTGCAGATGTATCAATCCAATGTTTTGATTGTGATAACACCCTGCACTATATAAGAGAACCATGTAGTGCACTCCAAACCATTGCACGAGCTGCTCGCGTGGCAGGTGGACGTGAGCACGTGCAGCGGCCGGGATGGGGAGTGGGTGGGGCAAGTGGGAGTGGGGAGGGTATAATGTGGGTGGGTGGGATTAGTGAGGGAGAGTACGGGAGGGGAAGCATAGAGTGCGTTTAGTAGAAACTCATCACAAGTGTGGTAATAAAAGCGCCAATGAAAGCGATAAGGTGAATAGAGGAAGGATCAACCGCTAGCAGAGTCGCGAATAAAATCCATGTTTTGGTATCACTTTGAGGCAATGTGTGATTGTTTACAACCTCACTATATAAAAGAATCATGTAGTGCACTATAAGTGAGCTACTCGTATGAACATATTGGTCAAAGATTGTTGACTATCTGTATAAAAGAAAAGCCGGTGAGGAGAAAGATAAGCGCGGCGGAGCCGGGCCCGCTCGGCAAATCCATTCTTTATCTCAGAAGAAGGCGTGCAGGCATCAGCCGGCAAAGTCGGCTGGTTGAGGAATAATACACAACGCTCCGAATAAAGTCAATTCAATTCAAAGCATTAAAGGCAGTTGGCACGATTGACCTAAAATACCAGCAAGGCGATATCTAGCGGAAAAAGGCGAAAAAACGAAGAGAAACGGTCCTAAACTGCGAAAAAAGCCTTCGTTCTACGCCTACGGAGAACTCGTCCGAAAAGCAATTTCGGACGAGTTCTCCGTAGGCGTATTGCAATAACCGCTCCGGCAGGTACGGCTTCATGTATGTACTCATATGTCCATTCAGCACCGCAGCCGCTTCATACTAATTCCTTCGCTTTACGTTCAAATGAGGCAAAATGAGCAACTGGTAAGGTCGTCCATTTGTGGGCGAGAGGGCATGGCGGGCGTTTGGATCGGTATGTTCTAGCTTGATAGGACCCTTATAAGGGGATAGGACTTATATACCTCCCGAGGAAAAGCCGCTATGTAGCGCCTACTCAGGATCGCGGAAATCCGCCCTGCCAGGAGTATCAATCTCACTCGTTTTTAGGGATTTATCGTGCCAACTGCCTTCAAAGCGCGAAAACAAACTCACAGCATTTGCGACTTTGAGGAAGAGAGAGTCGCCTGGGTAGAGGCGAATATCAGGAGCATGTACATTGAAAAGACGCCAGGCGCCAGATAAAACACGTCCATCACGAAGATCGTCAAGCTGATCCACCTGAGCACATCTCAGCTGACAAACAAACCACTTCAGAAGGAGGGAAAACGAAAAATTCTATCAATTGAAACCAGTTCACTCTATCTTGGCATACGATAGTACCGGTAAGGAGAATGCGTGAATTACAATTTGCAATGAAATTCATTCTAAGCTGGCAGCTGTTGAGGTTCAATCCTCCATATATGGCATTTTTGCATTTTCAGATCTTTATTTGTTTTGCTGTTTTTCCGTGCATGTGTCTGTGCATGGATAGCCTCCGATAAGTGCCATTTATGGGCATATTCTGAATCGTGATACACCATGAGTCGGCGCTATTTAAGTACTATAATTTTCACATATCATTGAGAGAGACCGTAGCCAAAACTTGCTTTTTAAAGGCAAAGCCCGCGATCATTCGTCATCACAGATAATGGATTAGGGGAGTGCATATAGACGACAAGGTTCCGATTAAACCGATAATGAAGAAAAAAGCAGAAAAAATATGTCAACTGCTCTACATAGATCCCACTTCGATCTCAGCTTGTACGCGCCCAATCATCTGCATTTCCAATACTACGCCTCATCCGCACAGCTGATTCCCCGATAAGAACTCTACGACCGTACAAGTGACGATTTTCATGCTTTTTCGTCCTGCAGCTTCGTTTTTCACTGAAAGGCGGGCCTTGAAGGCGGAGTCTGGAGGCGGAGTCACTGGGAAAAAGGAGGCGTCACTGAGCATATTTTGCGCTATAGCGCTCTCCCTTACAACTTTTGACTGCGAAACCGATACAAGTTGTTTGTCGCGGCCACATTACCCTCCTCATGCCATATTTACAACTTCATGGCTGATCGCGGAGCGTACCTCCAAAGGTCAATTAGTGATCCTATCACGGAGATGGCACTTAAGCTTCTAGCTGCGGGGCCATTTATCGCCAATTATGAGCCACATCCTTCTACCACTTCCTCTGTAATAGACATTCTGTGCTATCCTAGCGCCAAACTGCATCAGCGACAAAAATAAGTGTCAGATTCGTGACCAGAACCAACGTTCTCCCTAGGCGTTTTTTTTTGTGGGCAAACGAATGTGATATTCTTGTTCATTGGGTTGAACTACCCCTGTTAACAAATTTCTCGCCGAAAATTTCTCGCCGAGTTTAGATTCTTCCCCAATCTTCTATTTGTCAGATAAGTGTGGGGGTGGGGGTAGACAGCGGCCAAATCTATGTTTGATCGGCCGCGTCAGATTCTTGACCTACTCGCTCTATTACGCCGTCAACTCGGAGTATGTCAGAAATTGGAGTGAAAGCTCTTATCGAAAACAAAGCAAAGGTGTTCACACTGTAGGGGTCTAACCAGTTTGCTCTCGTTTATGAAGCTAGACCGTCACCACTTGACCACGCTAGCACTGACATTGACAACGCTAACCAGTGCTCACATGCCAAAAGTGCATCCGCACTAACCTCGACCATCCAGAACTCCGTGATCCCCTTAGCACGTTCAATCTGCATATTCAAAACAGCATCCGAGAGTCTATATATGTGCCTAGGTCCCCATTTAAAGTTCCATGGGGAGACGAAACCATTCCCTTGTAAGGTGAGAATAGCTCTTCAATACGATATTTAAATGGGTCATGGTTCAATCGATGTTCGCTTTATCGCCTCGCCAGAAAACACCATACGCTTATTCGTAGTGGGCTTTTTTCAGTCAGAAATCATCTGCTTCACAACCAGCACTAGTAAGACAAGAGCGTTTCGAAACAGTCCTCTCCCTGAGTAACGCACTCTGTTAATCAAGTATTTGCACTAATAAGCCTGCAAAAGTACCTCGATTCCAAAGTGCAGACCAATTTGTCTACACACATGAAGAACCAGATCCTCTCCTTTCGCGTTTGCGCTAACAGGTCCATGTAGGGTACCTGAACCGTCGTTCATACGAGCAAGCGACAGCGATGCTCGTCTCAACATGCGCTCATCATCAACACTCTGCAAAAGGGATCGTGCGAAAGCACTGTCACCTGTGATTAAATATTAAGCAACGAGTCACGTGCGAACCAACCACATAGATTCCCACAAGTTTCCATAAAATTTCAAGCAGAACGTCTTTGGATCCAGCCACCACCGCTTCAGCTTTGATACCTACATAATGCAAAATCACACGTGGCAAGAATCATTCACTGGTTCGGATCAGAGCTTGGTGATAACTTGTCGATTACCTCCGACGTCAACGCCTTTCTCAGCGGCTACTTGTAAACAGATCTTCACGTTTCCAATTTTTCTCAACCGATCTCCACATGGATTGCGTAGTCGACACATGATGGAGCCAGGATTGCACCCAGTTACCAACTCAACTAGTTTACTGCAAAACACAGATAAAAGTTCGAGCTTGCTGTGGCCAAACAGTGCGAACACTGATAAAAGTCTGAACTCGCTGCCGCAAATAGTGCTAACAAGGAAGCTCCAACAGGTCGACCCGGTTGCTTGCAATGAGGTGGACTTAAATGTGTGTGTGTGTGTGTGTGTGTGTGTGTGTGTGTGTGTGTGTGTGTGTGTGTGTGTGTGTGTGTGTGTGTGTGTGTGTGTGTGTGTGTGTGTTGCCTCGCTGAAGTCAAACATAGGCTGACCATATCATATTCATATCTCGCACAGTTCCCATGGAGTCAACGCTGATTGGTCAGAAATCGCAGCATCGTTTCAGTACAGCTTCCATCTCGAAATGTTAGGGCATCGAGGTAGTAATGTGCTGGAGGATTCTTTTTCATTCGCCATGACTCCCCCCCCCCCCCCCCCCCCCTGAGAAAAGGCTTGCCACGACTCCTTTCCCTAGTTCCCTCCTCTGATCGAGCTACAGAGCGAGGGCGGCGGGAAGGGTATATGTACACTTGAGACTAGAAAAGCCGCACGGAAAATACGACCCTCCTCCCCCCCCCCCCCCCCTCCCGCTCCCATCTCACTACCACTTTCTTAGATTTTCCCCAACTTCTGACAGTTTCTCCAGAGTTTCCCCAGTTTTCTCCGGATTTCCTAAATTTCCCTACTTCTTCCCCAAAACTTCGTTATCGAGCAAGGGAGGGGGGGGGAGGCGGCAAACAGCACATGTAAAACAGGAAAAAACGCGAGTACAACCGGAAAAAAATTCCAACAACCAAAGGCAAATACGACTAACTCCTCCCCAACAGTGAACGAAATATGACCCCCTCCCCTTATATAGTCCGCAAAGACAAGAAACTCAACTAGAAAAATTTTTTCAGACCAAATACAACCCCCCTCCTCCAGTGACCAAGTACGACCCTCCCGTTGGAGAATCCCCAACGATGATGTGCTCTGCTCTTCACGCAAGCTCTATCAATTAATCATTCATCATTTCCAAGTCCTTGAAAGGAACCATGAATGAAGATGTCTTGCCTTTTGCTCGCCAAGCTTGCCTGACTTCGCCAGGCACACTTCACGAAGGAAACAGAACTTCTTCATTCACTGAGCTGCTCATATTGCGCTGCGTTGATGGAATCGTAATAGATGGAGTAACGCAACGGATTCTGCGTTCCTGAGTACACGCTCATATTTGAGGGAGGTGGTATGGGCCGCGACGATCATACTCTACCTGAACTGTAGGTATAAATAGAAAGTACAATCGGCCCACACAGCGCAATATGAATTGCTCAGCAGATGAACACATTCCGTTTCCATTACATGCGTCGAAACGCCTACCGGTGAGCGCTCACCTTTGTTATCAGCAATCCATCCCGTAAGCGATTGTACGTGCTAATAATTGGGCTACACTGGTTTAAGATTGTTTCATACTCCCTTATTAAGTGTTCATATTGCATTCATTCATCATTACATGCGTATAACGCATACAGTATTGAGGCCCTAGCCCTTCGACCTCGCCCACAACCCTTCTTCCCCTTATGTCACTTGCTGAATCAACGCTTATCTGATGCTATGTCCCGGTTATGAATATGGTGGCCTTCTCATTCTTACACCCCTTATCAAATATCAGCCGCTAGTAGTTCCTGTTACCTTCCAATGTTCTTGTCTCATACCTTGGAACTAATTGCTACGAACTCGGTGACCGCCCCATTTTAACATCTCTTATCAAATCTTAGTGGCTGATATCACTTCTTGTCACCCTTCATTAATCTTTTGTCCCATACCCTATCGTACTACATATAATCCGCTATGTCCGTGTGTGTGTGTGTGTGTGTGTGCGTCTGTCTGTCTGTCACGAAATTCATAGCGAGCGTCGCAGAAAAGATAGGATGACAGTTCCAAGAAGTGATATACATGGCAGGACGGGAACACTTTTGGTGGGTGACAGGAGGTGATAACACCTGATAAGATTCGATAAGGGGCCTTAGAAGGGGAGGGTGACCGAAATCGTAGCGCAAGTTGCAGCAGCTGCGGGACCGTGATTTCAAGAAGTGATATACACGGTAGGGTGGTGGCTGACAGAAGCTGATAACATCTGATAAGATCCGATAAGGGACTTTAGACGCGGGTGTCACCAAATTCTTAGCGCAGGTTGCAGCGACCGTGGGACCTTGATTTCAAGATGTGGTATAGGGTAAGGGAAGTGGACATGATTGGTGTGTGACAGAAGCTGATAACATCTGATAAGATTCGATAAGGGGCCTTAGATGCGGAGGGTCACCAACTTTGTAGGGCAGGTTGCAGGGTCTGTGGGACCTTGGTTCAAAGAAGTGGTATAGGGGGAGGAGGGCGGAAACCCACTGACACTAAGTGACAGCAACTGATAAGGGTTGAAAGCGTCATCATGCGGAATCCGCAACACCGCTTACTGCCACAATGCGATTGATATGACAGGTATCAGGCTCTCAGTAGTTCGTACACAACTCACTCCTATGCTCTTACCGCTATCGACATCATGTACGGCCGCTAAAGCAACTGGAGTTCAGAAGCATGGCGGTTGTTTACTCAGTTGCCATGAACAGCAGCAACTGGCTTTATCACTATGACTATCTTTCATCAACAACCTGAGAGAGGACCATTCTAAGCGTTAAACTGCCCGAATGCGGGAGTGCATTCCAGAAAAAGAAACCTACAGTGGTGGAGAACGCATCAAGCGGTAGGATGCTTCAAAGGCTGCTCTAACAGGTTGCTGAATTTTCGTGTGAGGGTTATGGAGATTTTTGGTACTAACTCCAGAAAGAATGGACAAAAGGATAGATTTCAGCGTTGCGACAACGGTTATAACCCTACCATATATTAGATTGGCGGGAAAGTTCTGTCACATTTTTTCAAATTAGACTTTCTTTTTACAGAGAGGCGTACAAGATCAAAATTATACAGCAATGTTATTGAGAGATCCTTGCCAGTTTTTGGACAGTTCGTGGATGCCATCGCTTAACAATGCACGCCGGCGCGACGCAAAGTTGGACATCATCTCAACTTTGACTTGGTCGTGGAGGTTTTCTCGGCTGTATAACGATAAGTACGGGAGGCAACAAGCAGAAAGAGCAATGTCTGGGCTACACCAATGCAAGGGGAGAGCCATCCAGCTCTATTGCATGAGGTACGGCTCGAACTTTTTTGGACGGAGTGGGCTGCACCATCACGTTGAAGACGGACTGTGCGGACGATTTTGCCCTCTGCTTGACGATTCGCTTCAGATCTCGTAGCTGCCTTGCGTACGGATTGACCGAGGAGGCAGCTTCTTCATCCAGTAGTTTCCCGACCCACCGCTATCTAGAGCTGAGTTTACAGGTACTCCCGAACCTCACTTCGTCATTCGAACCGTAGGCTCCCGCTCTGAAGAGCTAGCGTCGTGGAAGATTGTCTGATGACTGTAGACATTGTCCTTGTGCAGCTCCATTATTCGACAGCTGCCATGCTGGCGCCAGGGTGGTAGAAGAAATAGTTTAAGGAAGCGCTTGAAGGGGTCGGTGCTGAAGGTAGCGGATAACATTCTTGTCCATAATGCAGAATAAGGATGAGCAGGAGCCGAGCCAGTGACACTAATAGAAAGATCAATCCTTAATGTATAAATGCATTACCGGTTAGCCCTCTTCAGGTAATAGGCGAATACTTGGGTTCAAAAAAGTATGATAGAACTTTCCCGCCAACCTAATATATAATCGGCTATGTCCGTGAGTGTGAGTCTATCTCTTGACACGAAATTCATAGCGCCGGTCCCAGTAGCAGCGAGATATTGGTTCCAAGAAGTGACGTAGAGGGTGTGACGGGAACACTATTGGTGGGTGATAGGAAGTGATATCAGTTGATAATATCTGATAAGAGGCCTCAGAAGGGGACTCTCACCATATTCGTAATGCGGGTCACAGCATCAGCCAGGTGTTGATTCCAACATATGATGTAGGGTATGGGACAGGAACATTATTGGTGGATGACAAGAACTGTCAGCTGCTGATAAGATTCGAGGGATGTTAGAAGGGTATGGTCACTGAGTCCATCACGCGAGTCACAGCAACAGTAGGAGGTTGGTTCCAAGATACGATGTAGGGTTTAGGAAAGGAACACTAGGTTGGTGACAAAAACTGCCAGCATCTGATAAGATTGGATAAGGGGCGTCAGAAAGATAAGGCCACTGTTTCCATACCGTGGGTCGCAGAGTCAGCGTTGGTTCCAGCAGGTGATATAGGGGGTGAAATGGGGTCAGGAACGGTGGGTGACAAAAAGCCATAACAACTGATAGGGACTGATAAGAGGCCTTGCGGTCATCGTTGTTCAAGGTGTTAGAGCTTTCGAAGTACCAAATTCCAAAGTTTTTGTGGAAGGACGACGTGTGGTAAGTAATCATACCAATTGATTAAATTTGATGAAAATCAAATTTCGTCACATTTCTTACCACTTTTTAACGATTCACTGTCAAGTATTGAACGGTTTGGACTGTTCCAACACCGTACCAATGCGGAGGGGCCACGTCAGAGCCTGGCAAGCTACGCGTGGTGTGGCCACACGGGGCAGGTTTTAGACGCGATTCTTTCTCCTAGGTTACTTCACGCGGGAAATTTGCATTTAGAGGTTCTTTCACATGCCAATTACGAATGCAAAATTCATGTGTGCCAC